ATAATGTACACTCCTTATCCCTGAGACGGAGTAGGCGTGGCATTTGAACATGGCATAGAATGGGTTACTCGCGGGATACTTCAATTTCAGACAACTGTCACCTCGTTCTGTGTTAGATGAAACTATGATTACAACTTTCCCAAATTGAAAGTATGTGGCGGAAACCATGGCTGCCGCTACTTCAGCTCGAGTACCCAGCCACGCCCACCGCATATCAAGGATTTTGAGTGTATATTAGTGAGAAATGACGGAATATTCCATAACCAAACGATTTAGCTCTGCCCTGAGGGAACATTCGGTGATGGTTGTCGCCATAAATGTGAATGTGATAAAAACGCTGACTGCGATCCGATAACTGGAAAATGCTTCTGCAGATCAGGGTATTTTGGTGACGATTGCAAGCAAGGTGATTGTTTGCCATCGATTAACCGTTGTTTCATGAAGTAATCAGAAGTTCTTCAGGTTGTGCCCAAGGTCGCTTCGGTCACGATTGCACAGAACTCTGTGACTGTGCTAATGGTGCAGTATGCGACAAGCAAAGTGGCGCTTGCTTATGTCCACCAGGATTTATTGGTACAAAGTGCGACACACCATGTCCACCTGGGCGATTTGGGGACAGGTGACTAAACCTTGGTTTTGTTTTTTCTTTTTGCAACCAGTTTACTCTCTGTCCTTTCCACTTTACGGGACTCCGCTTTGCGAAATGATAGATCTCTCCACTTTCCCCAGATATGTCCTCGAATCCTCACAAGTCCGGGTTCTCCGCTGTTGGCAATTCCTGTGACTTTTTGAAAACCAATTTTAATAGGAGAAAAAGTGTGCATTGTCAAAAATAGGAGACGGATCTCACAATTGAACTTTCCGACAGCTTAATATCCGTAGTTTGTTCCCATTAGTTTCATTCTATCTGAATCTCACGCGGTTAGAGAGATGCTTCTCAAACGAGAGAAGTAGAGTTACGAAGAGGGATCTGAACTAAAGACGAGATTGTTGGAGATGTGCCGCTTGAACCCAGTTTTACTGATGGTTTCATGCATGAGAAGGCCTCTACGGGATACGTCACCTTCTTATCAAATTACTAGACCTTGAGAGACAGGAAAAGATCAGAGGCTTGATCATCTGACTTCGTGCGTGTTAGGGCCGCGTTCAGACTTGTCGCGCTTCAACTGTCGCGCTGCAATTGTCGCTCTTTGACTGCCGCGCTTCAATTGTCGCTGTCTTGTAATTAAACACTACACGTACAAGCACGCTCCTCTTTTTCACTTTCACATTGAACTTTAATGTAGTTTTTGATACAGGAGACTTGGTGATGATTTTGTTTACCGTTTCAAAAAACTCGTCGTCAAAACGTCAAAAGCTCAGAAGACTCAAAACGTCGAACTACATTAAAAACTGCATTAAATCCCATGTCAAAGTGTCAAAGAGGAGCTAAGAAAGTGGTGTCACTTGCCGCTGCACCTTGCCCCACCTCCACGGATTTCCCATACATGTGTTCGGACCCAGGTTTCCACAATTTTTGAAAATCAGCTACTTTCTGCACCAAGCCAGCACCACTCCATCGTGGGTATTTAGCATCTACCATGATGGGGTCATTTGTCGGGCGGTTAATGATTCAAAAAACTCGAGAATGGGATTCTGATGCTTGGGAGACGAAGTTTCCTTCATGCTCATCATATGCTGAAATGCGTTTGTCATCAAAGCGTCACTCCCGCGGGTGATTGTTCAAAACTGAAAAGAAGTGGGAGTTCACTAGGGTAAGATCTGATGAATATGTGGATAACGCAGGGACATTCGCACCGAAAATAGTTGAAAATAATGTAACCTGGCATTGCTATGAAGGCGTAAACTTGATCAAGCTTTCGAGCTCTTCGGTGACTTGGTTCAACGGAACACAGTATAAGTCCAAGCTAACGTTCCAA